GAAGCCTTCGGCATAGCCGAAGACAGCGCTGCTCTTACTTGTTTAACTATAAGTTTCATTTAAATGTATAAATAAGACTATTTTTATGTAATTTGGGGGGGGGGGGGTTTAAACCGCCCTGTTGGAGGGGAATATGCATACAAAAATTTTCTATCATTTAGTTCACGATAACAATGGTAGAAAATATTTTAATATCTCTGTAAAATTTGTTTTCCTTGCAATTAGACGAACGAAGGGTATTGTGGATTCAGCGGCAATTGGAATAGGTTTGACCCACAGTTTTTTGGGTTTCGCACACCTAGATCTAAAGTGCGAACAACTCAAAAATTATTGTGGGCGATATACAAGTAATGAAAATAATTTTTTTTTTTTCATTTACCTGTTTTTTGTATTAATTGTGTTGAATCTGTACGATCCACAAGCAGTGAAGTTTCCCTTTATGAATTTTGAGTTAGCTCGCTTTAGATCTAGGGTATCGATACCTGTACTTGTAAGTACCACCGATAGAAAGTATCGATACCTACCAAGTATCGGGCCACATATCGGGATGCCTACTTATATCGATATTTGTAACTATATCTATATATATAAAAATGAAATGTTTTCCGTATGACGGCGATGCCTGACCAAACGGCTGAACAGATTTCAATTCTGTAAAAAGCACATTTTTGGACCTTCTGTGTGGTAGGTTTTTTGATTTAAACAAATTTGAAATTTTTTGTTGTTGTTGCCGAAAAATGAAGAAAGCTGAGACGTCACGATTTCACAATTTCATAGAGTTTTCCGTATATTGAATGTCACTAAACTACTAAACGGCTGGACCGATTTCGTTCATATTTGGAACATATTTCAGCACCTTGTAGGGAAATATTTCGACTAAAAATTTAATCCCTAGGTGGCGCTGGTGTCGGGATATTCATAAAAATTGCATTTAATTGCTGATTTGGCTCATATTTAGAATACAATTTAGCCAATTGAAAATGAATATTGAGACTAACCATGTACTCGATATGTGGCATTGTGGACGATATATTCTTAAAAATCTTATACACTGGGATAATGATAGATATCTACTATATATTAGTGGAAGTATGTATGTATGTATGTGCCAGGTTACAGCCCAAACGGACGGACAGAATCGAACGAAATTTGGACACAGTATTGCCATGACACCTGGGCCTATATTAGGGAGAAAAAAACGGGATTCGACAAGGGGGCGTGGCACCTCCCATAGGCGTGAAATTTTTAATCAGCCATAACTTCCAGACCATAAGTCACACGAACTTGAAATTCGGTATGCAGACATATCAATGGTAGGTACTTAGACGAGGATATATATAAACATATTTGTAAAAGGGGCGTGACAAATCCCATAGGTGCGGAATTTTTTATCAACTATAACTTCGGAACAATAAGTCACACAAACATGAAATTTGGAATGCAGACATATCAATGGTAGGTGCTTTTAGGAGGGTATGTATAAAGGAGTTTGTAAAAGTGGGCGTGGCCCATCCCATTGGCGTGGAATTTTTTATCAGCCATAACTTCGGAACCATAAGTCCCATGACCTTGAAATTTGGTATGCAGACATATCAATGGTAGGTGCTTTTACGAGGGTATATATAAACGAGTTTGTAAAAAGGGGGCGTGGTACATCCCATAGGCGTGGAATTTCTTATCAGCCGTAACTTCGGAACCATAAGTCCCATGACCTTGAAATTTGGTATGCAGACATATCAACGGTAAGTGCTTATAGGAGGGTACATATAAAGGAGTTTGTTAAAGGGGGCTTGGCACATCCCATAGGCGCGGAATATTTATCAGCTATAACTTCGGAACCATAAGCCACATGAACTTTAAATTTGGTATTAAAACATAGGTATCTATGGGAAGTGTTCAGAGTAAAGTATATATAAATGGGTTTGTCAAAGGAGGATATACATATATGTATTCCTCTATTAGATAACTCGGATATTAAAAACTGTGTTTTTATTTTTTTGAAACCTTACCGTCTTGAGATTATTTTGAAATGGAAAGATTAAATCGTTTTTTAATCCCGCGATGCTGTTAAATGAAAAATATTCATACATAATGAATAAAACTCCTTCCGAATTAAGCATTTTACCAGAAATGTGCAGCTATACTAAAACAGCCAAGCGAATAGGCAGCTAAACGGAATGTACCGTAGTACACTAATTTTAATTTAGAATTTTGATTGTTACCTTAATCCACCTAATATTAATAATGGAACAAGATTTGTAGTACAAATTATGATCAATATACATTAGTTAAAGTACGATAAAGCCAAAAGTTTGGCTCATAAGAATGCCTTAATGTAAACAAAGAAAATAGTTTGTCTCCTTTAAATTATGCTGGACTGAATATTTGTATTACTGTTTTATATTTTTATTTGTTTACCCCGAACGACGTCGGGTGCTCTGCTAGTACATATATAAGAATTGCTTGTATAAAAAAACGTTATGACATATCTATGAATTCTATCAATTTTGCTTTTAGACAAATGGTACTTAATCTTTTTAAGAAAAACGCGTAAGTTTTAGAACATATCTTATTAGGATGGCCTCCCAAAAACCAAGAAAAGTGCAAAATCCAATAAGTTTTCTTAAATGCCACAGAATTTGCTTATTTTTTATGTATGTGCGTATTTTATTTGCTATACATACATACATAAATATTTATTTTGTACAAATAAGAGGCCATTGAAATCAAAAACAATTATTTTATAATTTATTTCATACAAAATAATGGTCAATGGCATTTTTGCAGAGTAAAAATGGCATATTTCTGAAAGAAGTAATCATGTTGACAATTTTTGGAGGACAAAGTTATAGTATAGTGTAGGCATTCACATCGCCAGTTTAGAGTGAAAAGTTGCTTAGTCCATTTATAGAAAATTTTCAGGGGAGGAAAGAACTTTTCAAAATATTTACTTAAGGCATCTGGCAGAAGGTTCCGTTGCGAAATAAAGCACTTGTGGCCATATTCATAAAATTTAAATTGGATTTATAAAGCTCTATAAAGTGACATTTTGCATACAAATTTTCGATTTATAAAGCAGTAAAAGCGTTCTTTATTTAATATGTATTTGGGTGCTTGCATTTTTTGTCAGCTCAACAATTTTTCTGTGCCTCTTTTGGACTTAGTAAATTTTCCTTTATTTGAATATAAACGGGAAGAAATTAAACCAGCACGTAAGTTAATCCTTGGAGACGTTGCGTTTTTAATTTACCTAACTTCCTATATCCAAATGTAAGTTTTTGCAAAAGTGGGCTTAAAAATTTTTTACTGTGAGCGATATTTTAATGAAATGATAATAGTTCTTTTCTTTGTAGGTCTTTCCTTTCATTAGCAACTAAACTGCCAACAGTTTTTAACTATTCACAATAATAACACTGGTTTACAGCAAAAATGTTCTATGGTTGCCGCTATCCAATTCTCATGTAGAATCGCTCGGTCATTCAGAAAATCAAGTAATTTTTTTTCTATGAACACGTTTTCGGGATATTCGCAATTACCGTTTGAACCAAATGAACAATCGTAATATGGCAAATGAAAACCAATGAAATTCTCCATATACTGTACATACATAATTTTTCGATAGGCCTGATAGTTTGTGAGTTAGTGGCGTCTGGAGAACAAAACCCACACTCCAATTTGTAATCCAGTGTAATTAGATTAAAAAAAGAAAATTCCGGGAATAAAATTGACACTGAATCGGGTTTCGATACAAATAATTTCTTCCGATACCTACTTAGTACTCGGTTCAAAAGTATCGATACACAAATTACTTGGTAACGGACGAAAAGTATCGAGTATGCACTAGTATTTGGTCCCTACCCTGCAGGAAATTAAACCAATTTGAAAGTAATTTATAAACTGCTTTATTTTCAATTTCAACTAATTGAAATTCTCGCCATTTTACCTGCAACGAACTCATTTATTTAACATGGCGATGTCCTAGGAAGCAGTCAATTGCCATTTCCTGCATATATTTTTAACTACTTTAAAATGCATTATTCTTAAACAACTCCAAAGTAAATATGTTTCGTTTGTATACGGTTTCGTTCTGCACTTCACAGATGCTTTTTCATACTTTCAATACACAAATTGTTTCTTTGAGTAAGAAGAGTATCAAAAGTCGAAACAGTTAGTTGTTGATTTGAAAAAAAAAACACTTGCTTTCGGCAGGGTATTTAGATCTAGTTGTATTTTCGCAAACCATTTGCAGTTAGGGTAGTTATAATAGATTTGTATGTTAAGTGGTGGTAGTGCCAGCGTGTGGCATGCATCAATACGTCAATTATCGTAAACACGATGAATCATAGAAAAACTAAGCATGCAACACGGAGAAAAATAGGCGAAATATTGTGCATGTATGTATGTATGTATGTATGTGCATATTTAGATATTTTTATATAGTTGCACGCTTGAGTGCAGATGCTTCTTAACAAATGGATACTTATTTATGATTTACAACCGACAGACAGTGAATTCATGCCAAGCAAACAAATACGAAAAATGTAATAAAGTTTGACACCGCAAATCACATTCCACACATGCATACCACATGCCACACGTTGCTGCGCCTCAAAGCTGGCAAAGGAAAAATTTTCTAACATTTAGCGTCCACAAAGTGACTGTGAAACTCGAATGGGGGAAATATGTGTATACCAGTGTACGGTGCTGCTGCTGAATAGCAAAATTCAGTTGGAAAAGCAGCACAAATTTTTATTTGTGTGCGTGTTTGTAGTTATAATTAACTCAAGTCCTTCTTTGAAATTGGATACAATCGAAAGTGCTTTAAATTACTACATACATATGTATATGATGCTTTCCTGCCTAATCGTATTCTTTACCATTATATCGCCTTCGGTTAATGCCTGCGTCAATTGAATGACTTCAGCGTCGTTATCATTGATTATTTGTTGCTGTTGTTGTAGTATGTCGTCGTTGTCGGCGAGGTCCTCGTATGTCTCGACTGCGTCTTCTAGATTTATGACGAGGTTCTCGCATTCATCCATCTTGAATGCTGGCCTTTCAGTGCTTTAGCCCCCAGGGTAGTGGGTGGGCTGTCGTCTGCTGGCTAGCAGCGCTTTGAGTCGCCGTTTTTGAGTACTTTTCTTAGCTTCACACACGAACACACACAATGTTTAATTGAGACTTGCTACAAAATTTTAGTCTTAAGTAGTATGTTCTCGAAAAGCAAAACACTTTATTGTGCAAGTAACTAAAACTTCCGATACATTTCTGTTGCTTCGCTTTCATATATGTATACTGAACATTTTGCAAATTGTGTACATTGCAAGCGAATACATATTCAATTTTCACTTTGAAAACTGCACCTCACACAATGCTTTAGTGCAGTGTTTCGGCGAAAGTCCTTGAAAATAATTGCTCTCCTTGAGGCTCAATCTTTTCAAGTACTTTTTGACCAACTTTTTACCACTTTTGCGGCTACCACAGTATGCACTTTTCTTCACTATAAATAACTAGCAAATTCTCCTATTCAAATTCGTTCACTTTTTTATAAATTTTTATTTTCACAATCTTGCTGCCGTTAATTTCAGCGACACAACGGAAATGTTTGTGGCAGCGAAAAGTCTACGAATTTTCCTTTCGTTTCCCATTGCCTGTGGTTTTGTTTGCCTTTTCTGTGGATCTCATGTTGGGCATGGGCATGCGCATTGCTAGAAAAAATGACATTGCCTGTTTTGGTAAATTTTCGTTTCGCTGTCAACCGGTGGTTGTTGCCTTGGCATTTATCCTGCCGCCGCAGTGCCACCTGTCGTCATTTTCCAGACCATGTTATATGGTGGATTTATTAGCTGGCAAGGTGGTTGAAAGCAGAATAATCGTTATTAAATTTTGGACGGTGTGTCCGGATAAGGTTTAGGACCGTTTTCACTATCTCCGGTTAACACTAATCCCCAGTTAAACATCTTTACCGAGGTTACTGTTTCCATGTGCAATAACATTGTGTCGGTAACGTCGGTAACGATGCTTAACTGGGGATTAGTGGTATCCAGAGATAGTGAAAACGACCCTTAATTTAAAAGGTTTTGCAATCTAATTTTTCTCAAATACCAATTCTGTCGTTCCAATCCATTGTTTTTATACCCCAGCGCACTTGTGCACAAGGGTATATTAACTTTGTTCACATAACGGTTGTTTATAACAGCCAAAACGAATCGAGCTAGATATAGACAAATGTATACATAAATGCTCAGAATGAATAGAGAAGTCGATTAAGCGGTAACTGTCTGTCCGTCCGTCCATGTACACGATAACCCGAGCACAAATTGAGATATCTCAACGAAATTTGGTATATAGGATTTCATTTATCCAAGGTAGGTTGGTATTGAAAGTGGGCGAAATTGGACAATAACCACACCCACTTCCCATATAACGGTAATTTTCAGAAATACGAAAACTGCGATATTTTAGTAACTACTGGAGTTTATTCACTCAAAATTGATATTTACAATACATTTTAGACGAAAAATAAGAATTTTATAAATTTTTGGAAAACGGGCGTTGCCACGCCCACTTAGTGTTGCATGTGTATATCTTGGTAACCGCTGCATCAATTTCTTCCAAACTTGCCACAGTTGTTGGGCCTTGGTACAGCATACCAAATGGACGAAAATTTTTAAAATCGTACAATAACCACGTCCACATCCCATATAACGGTAATTTAGAGAAATGCAAAGTCATCGATAAATCAGTCAATATTAAAGCTAATTTATTCAAAATTGATGCTTGCAACAATTCTTTACCAAGAAATAC